TTTTTCGGATTATCAAAACTATTCGATTTGTTCTGAGACTTATTTGCTATTTAAACTCGAGCATTTGAAATAAACCTTCATACATAGCAGAGGAATCATACGTAAGTGTTAGGATGACTACCTGCAAACGAACAATTCCATTTAACTCACGATTTGTCTTGTATACTGAAACCTTTGTTTCTACATTTCAGCCTCTCATTGACATCCTATTGGACTGTTAACTCTTTTTATATTCTGGCTCAGTTGAATTCATACCACGGAACGATCCACTTGTTTGCAGTATAACTTCCTCGAAGTTGTTTGTCTTCCCCATTCCGGTGATCTAACGTGTCTGACTGATAGCACATCAAGGAGGATATAACAATAAGGAAATTGAGGAATCAGTCGTTTGGTTGCGAACATAACTCACAAGTTCGTCAAACGAAGGCCTTATACCGTGCTGCATTAGAGCTCCGAAATAGCGAGATTTTCCCGTTTGAACCAGCGTCCGACCATGGTTATGAGCTATAGGCGATCTAATATATTCGAACGTTCAAAAATTTAATGACGTGGGAACTAACTTAGGTGCAGTTTGGGAAATGCAGAAAACAGCGTCGAATAAGTTGATAGCTAGATTCTCTAGCCTTAGCTTGTAAAAAGAATGAGTCGTCAATTAGTTTCAGCATGAACCATACACCAAAGGTGAATTAGCTTCAGACCCTAGTTTCGATCACCGAAGGAAATATACCCGGGCATCAGAGGCGATGGCATAATCAATTCTACCAGTAGGAAGTTAGAAACTGGGCATCTAGGCATTGAAAGCGATAAGCTCCATTGCAGGGAAGCCACTGACAGAGAGCTATGCTCGCAAGTGTTAATAAGCAATTGCAACCGTTTAGCTGTAACACGGGTTCCATTCCGAAGAGGCAGCATGGGAAACGGCTATCACTTCCAAGCAAGGCGGCAGGCGCGAAAATCGGCCAGTCTAAGAAATAGTGAAGGAAAACATGAAGATGAACTGCAGAGTAAGTCTGGTACCTCCGTCACAAGCGTATATTAAAGTCGCTTCAGTTAAAAAGGTCTTAAGTTCAAGATGGCTGTTAGGCAGGAATCCACATGGATCCCGCTATACCGCACGTCTTTAGGCGCTGCTACGGCCGATAAGCCTGGCCCGCACGAGGTTGGCCCAAAATTCGGGACGCTTGCCGGTCCGGCATCAAGACGAGATCTGGATCCAACAGCCAACCATGACCCAGTATTGGCCAAATGCCGGTTGCCAATGGCGCATCCAGAACGCGTCAGAAATTCCAGAAAGTTATAACCGCTTACGATATATATACGAAGCGCTGTACAACTGTTCTTGACTTCGTTTTGGGCATTAATAGACCTTGCGCACCTTTGGTGGTTATTTTGACGTGAACGCTAGCTTGGGAGGCTCAGACCGAGAACTAAGCTGAGGAAAATACCGAAAGGGAACCCACGATGTCAATTGGATTTGATCAGCTCCGAGAACTATTGCAGCAGCAACAAAAGCAGTTCGAAGAAGCACAACTAAAGCTCAGTGAATCACTGACTCAGAAACTGCATATCCAAACAGCAGCAGTCAGTACTGGTGAGTCTTCTATTTCCTCAACTGATGCAGCCGCGGCCTCAATTACGGAGTTCACATTTGACCCTCTTTCTGGTCACACTTTTGACTCCTGGTTCAAGCGGTACGAAGACATGCTTAAGACTGATATTTCCAAATTTGATGATGGATGGAAAGTCAGACTATTGCTGCGAAAACTCGGCACACCGGAGCATGAACGGTTCACAAATTTCATTCTCCCCAAGCTGCCCCGCGACCTCAGCTTTGATGAAACGGTCAGAACACTGTCCCATATATTCGGCGATCAAACATCACTGTTCAATATCCGCTACCAATGCCTTAAGTTGGCCAAGAAAGATGATGATGATTTCATCACGTTTGCCGGTGTTGTCAATCGAGAATGCGAGCGCTTCAAGCTCAGCTCAATGACGGAGAATCAGTTTAAGTGCCGCATTTTCGTATCCGGTCTCCAGTCATCCCATGATGCTGACATCAGAACCCGGCTTCTTAACAGAATTGAACAGGATGCCGAAATGACGTTGCAGAGCCTCACCACTGAATGCCAACGCCTCATCAACCTGAAGCACGACACGGCTATGATCGGTCAGTCACCTGTGACCTCAAGTAGCTGTGTACAGGCAATCAACTACAGCGTGCCCAGGAAATCCGACAAGAAGCCCGATCGAAGACAGGGTAAGTCTCCCACGAGTTGCTGGCATTGCGGTGAGTGGCATTTTGCTCGTTATTGCCGGTTCAGGCGTCACAAATGTTCCAGGTGCAGTCGTCGCGGCCACAAAGAAGATTTGTGTCGATCTCAAAGATTGCAGCCACCCGCACACCACCGTGCAGCCCACAAATCGCGGTCCAACTCGGTGACGGCAACATTCAAAGTTGATTTTGCTTGCCGAAGGAAGTTCGTGACGGTTCGTATCAACGACATCCCAGTTCGGTTGCAACTTGATACTGGCTCCGATATCACGCTGCTCAGTGAACGAACGTGGAAGCGAATCGGTAAGCCATATGTGAAGCCGACTGATCACTGGGCCCGTAATGCTTCCGGTGGCAAACTGAAGTTGACTGGCGAAGTGGACTGCCTCATTAACTTCAAGGACTCGACGGCACAAGCCACCTGCTACCTGACGTCATGCCCCAAACTTGATCTCATGGGGCTAGATTGGATCGAAAAGCTAAACCTGCTGGATAAACCAATCAACTCTATTTGCAACGGCATACACGCAGCACCCGGACAAATTGACTTGCCGAAGCGTTCACTTGAGCACCTCCTACAACGTTATGCGTCTGTATTCACTGACGAACTTGGACGGTGTACAAAAGCAAAAGCCAGACTGTGCCTCCTCCCTGGTGCCAAGCCAGTCTTCAGGCCAAAACGTCCAGTGCCTTACGCAGCCTTGCCTATCGTCGACCAAGAACTGGACCGACTTCAGAAGGCGGGTGTTCTCCAAGCGACCAACTACTCGGCTTGGGCCGCACCTATTGTGTTGGTAAAGAAGGCTAACGGGACGATCCGGTTGTGCGCAGATTTCTCCACCGGTCTCAACGCGGCACTGGATACCCATCAATACCCCCTGCCTCTCCCAGACGACTTGTTCGCGAAACTGAATGGGGGTAAATGTTTCGCAAAGATTGACTTGGCCGATGCGTATCTCCAGGTTGAAGTGGAGGAAGAATCCCGAGAACTGCTCACGATCAATACGCATCGAGGTCTGTTCCAGTACACTCGACTGCCATTTGGTGTCAAAGTAGCGCCGGCCATATTTCAACAGATTATGGATACGATGCTGAAGGATGCACCAGGCGTTGCCGCCTATTTGGATGACCTCATTGTCATGGGTTCCAATCCCCACGAACTGTGGCAGCGCCTTGATTACGTGCTTAGTCGTATTCAAGAATATGGCTTCAAAGTGCGCCGAGAGAAATGCACATTTTTCATGCGGTCGATAAAGTACCTGGGGTTCATTATTGACGAACATGGCCGCCGTCCAGACCCGGAGAACATTGAAGCGATCAGACGTATGCCAGCACCCACAGACGTGGCGTCCCTCAGGTCTTTCCTCGGTCTCGTCAGTCACTACAGTTCGTTCCTGCCTGCCATGCATCGCCTTCGAGGCCCACTAAATCAGCTACTTACCAAGGACCACAAGTGGACATGGTCAGAAGAATGTCAACGCGCCTTTGACTCTGTCAAATCCATGCTAAGTTCCGATTTGCTACTCACACACTACGATCCATCGATGGAAATTGTTGTGGCGTCGGACGCCTCGAACTATGGAATTGGCGCAGTGATTTCACACGTATTTCCAGATAGCAGCCAGAAAGCCATTGCACATGCGGCCAGATCCCTGACTTCAGCCGAGCGCAACTACAGTCAGATAGAAAAGGAAGCCTTGGCGATCGTGTTTGCCGTTAAGAAGTTTCATAAAATGCTTTACGGCCGTCAATTCACCCTACTGACCGATCACAAGCCACTTCTTGCTGTGTTTGGCTCGAAGAAAGGAATTCCGGCATATACTGCCAACCGGCTCCAGCGATGGGCCACTCTGCTTCTGGGGTACGACTTCAAGATAAAATACCAGTCCACTACCAGCCTGGGACAAGCCGACGCACTGTCCCGACTCATTGATTCAAGCAGGCCAGAACCAGAAGATACCGTGATCGCAACAATTGCCTTGGAACCAGAGGTTAACCACGTAGTTTCCGAAGCTGTTCGCATCCTCCCAGTGACTGCCGACATGGTCCGCCAGGCTACCGATCAAGACCCTGTGCTGCAGCAAGTCATAAAGTACCATCGCAATCAGTGGCCGCGTACCTGCCAAAAAGACGAACTAAGGCCTTACTTCAACCGGCGTGACGCATTATCACTAGCCGATGGATGCCTGTTGTTTTCAGAACGTGTGGTCATCCCAAAGAAGTTACAACCAGCCGTCCTGAATCAGTTCCATGAAGGGCACCCGGGAACAAACAGGATGAATGCCCTTTCTCGGAGTTATGTCTACTGGCCCTTGATGGACTCCCAGATCGAGCAAGTCTCGAAATCTTGCCTGCGGTGCGCTGAAGCATCCAAGTCACCGGTGAAAACCTACCTACGCTCGTGGCCGCAACCGACCGAACCCTGGTCTCGTCTTCACATCGATCATGCAGGTCCAGTGGGTGGCCAGCACTTTTTGGTCGTGGTCGACGCTTACGGCAAATGGTCGGAAATTCTTCCGGTGAACAGCCCCACAACTGCCATCACAGTCCTGGAACTCCGACGATTGTTCAGTCGTTTTGGGACGCCAGAGACTGTTGTATCCGACAACGGCAGTCAGTTTACGTCGTCGGCGTTCGCACACTTTTGTCGGGAGTATGGCATAACGCATACACGATCGCCGCCGTTCCATCCAATCGAACGGCCAAGCGGAACGCTTTGACACTCTCAAGCGGGCACTTCAGAAGTCCAGGGGGAGGGACCAACGGAAGAGATTTTGTAAAGGTTCCTGCTGGCATATCGAGCGACGCCAAACCCCAACTCACCTGATGGAGTATCACCAGAAGAGACACTGGTCCGAAGGAGGCTCCGAACACCGTGTGACACCATCCGGCCCCAAACGAAACAGGCTGGTCACCGCAACACCAGAATGGAGGAACAGCTCAACCGGCATCATGGAGCAACTGCGCGCGCATTCAGCGAAGGCCAGAGAGTGTTGCTTTGTGACTACAGCGGCAGACGCCCTACGTGGACCCCAGGACTCATCCTTCGCCGGCGCGGCAAAGTGCTCTACGAGATTCGAGTTGGTCCAGCCAAGTGGATACGCCACGCGAACCAAATCCGGCCGACAGATGCGCCGATCCTGCCTACAGGACCGAGTGATATGAGTCTAGAAATGCTTCTGGACACTTTTGATCTCGGCACCATCCCAGGAAGTCAATCAGTTGCTTCGTCAGAGGCCCAGCGTGAGAACGGATTACAACCGCGACGCTGGACAGACAGGATACGCAAGTCAGTGAGGCCACTGCAAGTGAACCCCCGGCTTCGAAGCTACGTCAACAAACTTCAAGGGGTAGGTGTTAGGCAGGAATCCACGCGGATCCCGCTATACCGCACGTCTTTAGGCGCTGCTACGGCCGATAAGCCTGGCCCGCACGAGGTTGGCCCAAAATTCGGGACGCTTGCCGATCCGGCATCAAGACGAGATCTGGACCCAACAGCCAACCATGACCCAGTATTGGCCAAATGCCGGTTGCCAATGGCGCATCCAGAACGCGTCAGAAATTCCAGAAAGTTATAACCGCTTACGCTATATATGCGAAGCGCTGTACAACTGTTCTTGACTACGTTTTGGGCATTAATAGACCTTGCGCACCTTTGGTGGTTGTTTTGACGTGAACGCTAGCTTGGGAGGCTCAGACCGAGAACTAAGTTGAGGAAAATACCGTTACTACAATAGCATAGTTTCAAACGGAAGGTCCGTGTTTCGAACGCAAATTCGGCATTTCGACTACCCTCTGACTAACCTGACAATACCTCAACCCTCATGCTTCTTTCGTGGCGTGAGAACTACGCCGTGAGCGCGTTACAACTGAAGGGTTATTTGTTATCATTATAGGAATAAACGTTGGACATTATTTTCCTTACGAAAACTGGTCAGGCAATGTTGCAACAGAGCTGCATTTATCGCACTCTGCACCAATCAAAATCCATCAATCAATTTATCAGCTGTAAACAGCGTGGCATATGCACATTGGTTCCAGCTGCTACAGTTTCGATCACTGGAGAACAGAAAAGTAGAAGTGAGGTTCAGTTTGTTCCGAAATTAGGTAGCTACGCATTGAAAGCGATAAGCTTTAATGCACAAGCGCCTCCAACTGCGCGACTTGCCCATTTTCGCCAATGTCAATAGCCATTGGTGAGTTAAGTCTCGGGGACCCCATCTAGGGAGGCGGGAGTTGCCCACCCGACTGAGCTTACTGGTTAGTGTGCTTGTAATTCTTAGTCAGGTCATTCACTGTTCACCTTTCGCTTCCACTCAGCAAGCGGCTGGGAAAGAAGAGCTATGTGGGGCAGAGGGTCTTCTAACGTACAGAGTACATGTCCCAACCAGCGCTATCCATGAAACATGAGTAATTCATCTATCGCGAGAGAATTCCTTCTTCCCAAGACCATCCGACGTGCCTCAGTATTGCTAATCCGATGTTCCCACGGGACCGGACTAATGCTTCGGCGACACCGATGGTCAAACACTGACATCTTCCGTATATCTTCTGCGCGTAGAGGCCACGTCTCTGATCCATAAAGCAGTACGGATCGCAACGCCCCACTGTGAACTCTGTCCTTGACGGAGACTCACGTCACGGCGGCGATATAGGTGACGGAGGTTGGCAAAAGCTGCCTTGGCCTTCTCGATTCGAGAAATAATTTCATCTTCAGCCGGTCCACTGCAACTCATACAAGTGCTCAGGTGAACAAATTTATCCGCCACGTCGAGTCGCTCGTCTGCAAGCATATGGTTTGGGTTTGATCATACCCAGCCTTGTAGCAGCACTTTACACTTCGCAGGCGTCAAGCGCATGCCAAACAGTGGGGCAAAGTTAGCCAAGTTGGTTAAAACCGTTTGCAATCGGGAAGGATCCCAACCAAGGAGAGCAATATCGTCTGCATACTCAATGGGAGCATTTCGACTCCCAAGGTTTCACAGGCAGACAGAGAAATTTCAGGCAGCATATCAATAACAAAGTTGAAGAGCAGAGGGGAAAGAGGAGAGCCTTGTCTTACACCACTGTATGTGGTGAGCTCAGCCGAGAGCTTCACGTATACTCGTACGTGCCACAGTAGTCCGCATATAGTGCCTCAGGACGGGGAGAAATTCGGGACATCTTTGAGCGCTAGACACTGCCAAAGCTTCTGGTGATCGACAGAATCAAAAGCAGCCTCCGAATCCAGAAAAACGACAAACGTGTGACGTTTGATGGAGTGGCGCTGTTCGAGAATTTGTCCCAAGGTCGATGCATTCTCGACCAGGGCGAAACCCAGCTTGATTTTCACAAATGTCTCTCCCGATAATCTATCAAACTCTCAGCGGTTGTGTTCAAGGAGACCAGGTGAACTGCCCTTTGAAGTGCTCAGCCCACCGCTCAAGACGGCGACTGAGGGCGAATTACTGTTCCGTCTTTCTTGGATACTGTTTCACTAACATCTGTCTTCTTTTAACCGACTGATCGAACAAACTGCGCGGCTGTTGCCTGCAGCGAAAGCCTTCTTCATCTTCTGGGCTTTCAAAATCTATCAGCGTTCTGTCGATTTTCAAGCTCCTGATTATCCGGTGTTTGAGGGAACTACGTGTGCCATCACAGTTGCTATTTGCTGGTATGACCTTTGTGGCAGCAGTAAGATATGCTAATCTCGCGATATAGTGCTCACTTAGTCGGGTCAGATGGCCTGGACAAACATTTATGAAAGCTGAGAGCACTGCTTCTTCAACCTTCGAGCTCTTCGTCATCCGCATGACTACGTTTCCAGTAGCTTTCTAGCCAGAGCAGCTCAATGCTCTTCGGTTAATGAAACTCGTCGAAGTCGATGAGCGGAGCTGCTTTTACTTTGGACGCGTAATGCTGACAGAAAGCGAAGCGCCAACCGGGTCCATACAGTGGCGTGATCAGAGTCAGGATCACCGGAGGCCCGAAGAGTGAAATATGGACCATCTAGGCTTGTCCTAAGCGGCTTGAGGAGCACGACCGAAATGGGGTCTTGTATGCGTGGTTTCTGAGACACAATATACAGCGATAGAGGTAAAGCAAGGTTCCTGCTGCCCAATCTGACTTGGAGTACGGACATTAAAGGCTGCAACGTGGATCAGATCTTCTGATGTTAGTAGGCGATTATTTTGGTTTATTTTTCTGGGCGACGACTGAGACATGGAACAGTGACTAGGGGATTGGCGGATGTTTTGATTGCACTGCATTATTAGGGTATGGAGATGAGGAGGGAGGCCTGTGAGAGCTGTAAGGGCAAAGATACTTCTCGGTTGCTCAGACCGAAAAAGTGGGTTTGGTTGAGGTACCCAACCTTCGATCTCTGACTGCAGTCTGACCAACATGGCGGTTAAAGGAGGTAGGGTTTAGTTTAAGGACCGACCCCCTAGCCTCTCACTCAAGAGTCTGGACCGCGGGACGGCGCTTGATATGGCTTTCTTGAAAGACCCTTGTCGGAGCCCATGACTCCATAGTCTGACCCACTTGATTGTAGGGGGCCGGCCCGATCCAAAGGTATTACTGTCTCACTCCTGGTGCAGCTGCGCACAAGTGACTTTTGAGCAGTACCGCACTCTATGGTTTTAAAAGTTTATCGACCATAGTGAATAATGCGCCGGCGGTCACGGTCAACCGTTGGGCGATCGAAGTGTGCGGTTTTCAGTGTCCACATTTTCTAACCCGTCCTTCTTCGGGGGAAGGCGGCAACGTTGCTTTCATAAACATGGGCATGCTAATCACCTTAAGGAAACGCCTTATTGCTTTTACACTCCTGTCCCAGAGGACAGGTGTCCCAGATTACCCCGTATTACGATCACTCGTAGGACGGGGGCTCGCTATTCTTCGACGGGCTGCTCCCCTTTGGCCTTTCTGACATCGTTGAACCTATAGGGACTGAGTTCCAGCCAGTATAGCCCACAGGGTCATTGCAGCACAAGAGCCCGACCACCTCGACAAGGTGACAGCTAATAACCATTCTGACGTCAGAGAGTGAAAACGGACAGTTGAGTATGCTCACTAATCATATTCCTAAAATCCCAGAATGTCCGGAACCAGTGAGACCCTCAAGTTCCACTAAAATCGCAGTGCCATCAAGCATGCGGGCGAGAAAAGCCAACTGCCGACTGGACGCTCAAGTAATCAGTTCAGCAACAACCGACGGTGGTGAATGTTCAGACATGTCGAAGAAGCAACGGCTCATGATGATGAAGCCAATGTCGATCAGGTAGCCTGAATTCAAGGTCAAAAATACCGCGATGCTCCTTGTGATCTTCACACTCGCTCGTTGGCAATAAGATTGTTTTGTTGCTTGTTGGTTAGTCTTTTCTGCGACACTGAGGCACTGGAGCGGTAACAGCAGTTAGTTACAACACTAACCAACTTGCGAAGGAGCTAATTAGCCATTTATGCGATATATTTCGGTATGGAGGTATCAAAATAATCCAACAGTGTAATCGCGTGATGTCAGAGGTTGGACATGTTGGATGGAATGTCATTGGTATGTGCTTGGGCATCTCAGAATCCCTTCTCTGTAAGCTGGTCAAATTGACTCGCGGTGGGTTAGCTGACATGTGACACCCTCAAGCTGCTGTGGAACGACCGTCACAATCGATGAAAGCTGTCCAATGGTGACTAACAAATACTTAATCATGTCACGAAGAGCTGACCACAGGTATGCTAAAAGTGGCTGAGTACTTGCGTTAGGTGTTGTGGAGTGCGAAAGCGAGTTCAGCGTTATGTAAGCACAGTTCAGCTGTTTTATCCGAAGTAGGGAAATCATGACTGTC